CAAGCCGTGAGATGTAGTTGTGCAGCAGTGTTAAATATCTGAGTGCACATAGAGTATGTGTAAGTTTTAATTATTAAGTAATAGTTAGTAGGTGAGAAACTAACGTGTGTGATGAATTGCATTGCGTATGGGGCTAGTGGTGTAGCTGGTAGAATGTGGCATTTAAAAATGCATTCATTGGCCTTGACTGTTCATGTGAGGGTCGTGAGCTTTTGCAGCACTGCATCTAGATCTTTGGGGGTTTGAATCTTGGCATTGAGTGCTCTGAGTGTGTGTGAAGAGCCTTCTGCAGATACAGGACATCTCCCCTCTACATGGCTGGCATAGGTAGCACTATAAATTTGCATCTTTATCTTTGAGGTTAGCACTTTTGCATCTTCAACTTCATTCTGCTTTCCCCTTTGCTGGTCATCCAGCAACCTGCACTATTTGCCAAGGCAGCATGTGGGAATCTTCTTTCCAGAAATTTCGACTGACGGCCTTGAAGATTACTTAGGTTTCAGCTTCCCTGTGAAGGTGAAGCAAACTTCCTCTTATTGCTCTGGCACCGCACTCTGGACAATGACAGACAGCAAGTGTGCAGCAAGGTTTTACTTCTTCTTTGAGTTAAGAAGTTAGAGGTCCAATCTACCTTTTCAGGTGAACATAAAAGACCCTGTGGCTCTGTTCAAAGGACAGGAGAGATTTCCATCAATCAACTTCACCAAGTAAAGGACCAATCTTTATCAAAGTGCTTTAACAAGTACTTTTGTGGTTGGAAAGAGCTTGGGGACATCCTGAACTCATGAAAGACACATGTCTTCTGCCTTTTTATCTTGCCCTGTCTTTCCCTCTATCAGCCTCTGTCTTTCTGTTAAAAGAATTTCCACCTGATCCTTATTAATGATTTGAAAGGGGCCTCATTTGAACATCCCATCTGAAAAGTGGTACCTGGTAGTGCAGCATTCCTCATCATTGCACACTTAGATTGAGTTCATGTCATGAAAGAGAACTTAAACTGAAACTGAAATTTATTCAGAATTGTTATATTGGAATTGAGTTTCCTTTTAATTGTCCAGCATTTACAATTTCAGCCAAAGAATATTGAAACATTTTTATCCCTTCTTTTCTCACACCCTTGATTCTATTTGGGTTTAGTTGACCTGTTGTTGGTTGCCATTTTGATTGATTTCTTGACCATTCTCTGAATTAAATGTTTGCAGGTAGTTTTAGCTGGTCTTATTGTGTGATGAAATTCATTCTAAAGATATGTTGCTCTTGTCCTATGCTGTCATTAGAGAGAACAAGTGGTGATTTTAACCTGAGGGTTGCCACACCTCAGGTGAAGTCTTCATGGTAACCTCAACTGGTGGAGGAATTGAACCTGTGTAATTGGTGTCACTCTGCATCATAAACCAGCCATCCAGCCAACTCAGCTAACCGACCCCCTTGTAAGGGGTGATGTTTGATATAATTCTGACATGAGTAAAAGAGATGATGCCAGTGTAAAATCATTATGTGAAGAGAGAAGCCATAGACACTACACCAGAGAAAGGTATTTAATAACCGACTCTGTGCAGATGTAAATAAAGGACTGTGGCAGTGCATAAGGAGTTGAAGAGCTTTATGTAGTGATAAGGAGCAAGCAATCTCAGGAACGATGTATATGCAGGTACCCACAGCCTGAGATACTCCAGACTGGTGTCTGAGTGTGCAGGTGGCAGAATTAGTTTGAAACACAAGAGAAAGGCGTTGCAGATTATCCCAAATCTTTGTGCAATGAAATGCACACAGGCATACTTTCAGCATAGGTCATTGAGTAACCATCATGACTGGGAATCCTGATTGATGTGCTCTTCTGAACTCAGTTATGCATCAGTCTGCACTTAAATGTCAGCCTAGATTATGTGCTGTAGTCACTGGAGTGGGAATTAAAGCAACAGTCTTCTAACCCAGAGATGATAGTATTACCAGTGAGCAGTGGTTAATAATTGGGAGTCAAATCCTAACTGATTTCCCCTACCTGACAGAAGGATGTTGGAGTTAATTGCAGCACTCCCACTACATAATAGAGATTGAGTGCTGAGCTCACACCAGAGACTAAATGTGGAATTTTCAATCTACTTGAATAAATCACCCGCTCCAATGAGCCAATGGAGGATACAAAATGTAGCAACCTTTGGAAAATGTGGCTCCATGTGTTGGTATGGCTATGAGAAATCAGGTAGGAAGATAATGAGTACATTGGCAAATGTGACTCAGTGGTAATGTCCCTACACCTGGGCCAGAAGGTCAGGATTTATCTCCCACCTGCTTATGTCATAACTTTGCTGAACAATCTGTCTTCAAAATAAATAAATAGCAAGAGAAAAAGTCTTGCAGTGCAGTGGTAGTGTGTATACCTCTAGCCCAGATGTTCCAGGTTCAAGTCCCACTGGCTGAAGATCATGTGATCATAAGATCTAGGAGTAGAAATAGGCCATTTGACCTATCAAGTCTGCTCTGCCATTTAATCATGATTGATATATTTCTCAACCCCATTCTTCTGCCTTCTCCTTGTAACGTTACAAATCAAAATTCAAGCCCTTCATTCTCAGGAACATTCTTGTTGACCTCCTCTGGACTCCCTTCAATATTGACATGTCCATCCTTAGATATGGGACCTACAGCTGCTTGCAATATTCCAAATGTGGTCTAACATCCCTTCTCTTGTACTGTAGCCCTCTTGAAATAAATGCCAATATTGCATTTGCCTTGCTACCTGCCAACTGATCCTGCACATTAACCTTAAGAGAATCCTGAATTAGGACTCATAAGTCACTCTGTGCTTCAGATTTTCAGCGCCTTTCCCCATTTAATGAATAGTCTGTGCCTCTATTCTTTTTATCAAAGTGCATAACCTCACACTTTCCCATATTGTATTGCATCTGGCACTCCTTTGCCTACTCTCCGTCTGTCCAAGTCCTTCTGCAGCCCTCTTACTTCCCTAACACTAACTGTCCCTCCACCTATCTATGTGTTGTCTGCAAACTTAGTGACAGTACCCTCAGTCCAGATCTTTAGTGTATAATGTGAATAGCTGTGATCCCAACTCTGACCCCTGTGAGACTCCACTGGTCACCGGCTGCTATCCTGAAAAAGACCTATTATCCTCACTGTCTACCTTCTGCCAGTCAGCTAATCCTCTATCCGTGCCTGTACCTCACCCCTAACACCATGGCCTATTATTTTATTTTCAGCATCTTGTGCAGCATCTTGTCAGAGACCTTATGGAAATCCAAGTAGACAATGTCCACTGGCTCTCCTTTGTCTAACTTGCTCATTATCTCCTCAAAGAATACTAACAGATTTTTCTGGTATGGCGTCCCCTTGATGAAGCCATGCTAACTCAGCCCTATTTCACCACGCACTTCCAAATACTCCACAATCTCAACCTTAACAATGGACTGTAAAAGCTTAACAACGACCAAGGTTAGGCTAACTGACATATAGCTTCCTGTTTTCTCCTTCCTCCCTTTCTTAAACAGGAGTGTTACATCAGCCATTTTAAAACCTTCTGGGTGCCTCCCTGACTCCAGTGATTCCTGAAAGATCATAACCAAAGCCTCCACAGTCACCTGAGCTATCTTCTTCACCACCTTCAGACCATTCAGCTTCTCCTGCACCTTCTCCTTAGTGATTGTTACTGCATTCACCTCTGCCCCTTAACTCTCTTGAAGATCTGTTATGCTACTGGTGTCTTCCGCTGTGAAGATTGATGCAAAGTGACCATTTAGTTCCTCTGCCATTTCTTTGTTCCCCATTACTATTTCTCCAGCCTCATTTTCCAGTAGTCCAGTGTCCACTCTTGTCTCTCTTACTTTTTATACCTAAAAAAAAACTCTTGCAATTCTTCTTTTATATTCTTAGCTAGCTTACCTTTCATCTTCTTCCCCTTATTGCTTTTTTAGCTGACTTCTGCTGGTTTTTGAAGGATTCCCAATCTTCTAGCTTCCCATTAATCTCTACCACACTTTGTGCTTTCTCTTTTGCATTTATGCTGTCCTGAACTTCCCTTCTCAACCATGGTTGCCTTGCCCTCCCCTTAGTATGTTTCGTCTTCCTAGGGAAGAATTTCTGCTGTGCCTCACAAACTTGCCCCAGAAACCCCTGCCATTGCTGCTCCACTGTCTTCCCTACTGGGCTCCCCTTCCAATCAACTTTGGCCAGCTCCTCCCTCATGTCTTTGTAGTTACCTTTACTCAATTGTAGTACCGTTACATCTGATTCCAGCTTCTCCCTCTCAAACTGTGAGGTGAATTCTATCATATTGTGGTCACTGCTCCCTTGGGATTCCTTCACCTTAAACTTTCTAATCAAATAAGCCTCATTTCACATCATCAAATCCAGAATTGCTTGCTCTCTAGTGGCCTCTACCACAGGTTGCTCCAGAAAGAACAATTTGTAGACTTTCCACTAATTCCTTTTCTTGGGATCCACTACCAACCTAATTTTCCGAGTCCACCTGCATACTTAAGTCCCCGGGAGATCTGATGTAATATCCTTAAGCAGGTCGATGTTTTCTAAAAAAAATCTGATCATAAAATTGTAAATGACCAAATTAAGTTAGCCAATGTGAATTATTTCTGATTTATTGTTTCTTACTTCTTGGCTAATCAAAGTGTGATCATAAATGATGACCACTAACCCCACTCAGTGCTGAGCTAGCGGAGACAGCAGGAGAAACAGTTAGGATTTGTTTTGCACTGCAAGTAGACAAGCAACCCTGGGTGCTCTGTAAATCCAAGATGCCGAAGGACATCAAACCAAAACTGGAGACATTGGGACTTAGACCTTCCTCAAAATAGTAAGTGTTAAGGAGAATCTAGAAGGAAGAGAATAAGGCGGAGAAGTTTTGGGAAGGAACTCTGGAGTTTAGAACTAGACAGTGAAAACAAAAAGCTGTGAAAAGGTAACCCACTGTCTTGCTCCTTGAGGGGAATTGTGTGGCCCTGCTAATATTGCCTTTGTTTTCTTTGCAGGCCAAGTACGCAGGGCTCATCTTCCATCATGAAGGCTGGCCTCTCTGTGTCCATGAGAAAGTAGTGGTGCAGTTAGCATCATTGCACAGGGTTCGTCTGAAGTCTGGAGATTTTTACATACAGATTGTACCACAAGGGAATCAATCTGCAAAATTAGTGCTAAAATGTCTTTCTGGAAATGGACACTCCTTAGAAGAAGTTCCTGTCCCCGAGTGTGCCTACCCAAACATCTTCACCATGGAATTTCTCGAAAGTGTAAATCATGAGAGGAACTGCTCCCTACACAGTTGTCTTCTAACAAGTGGCACTGCTGTTCTGAGGGTACATTGGAAGAATATAATTAACCCTGCATTTGTTACCAAGCCAAAAGCCATACTGACCCAATCCTACCACAGTTCAGTTCACCATGACCAGTTGATAGATACCAGCGTCACTAGGGAAATGATGCCTCAAAAAACGGAAAACAGGAAATCCCCAGACCATTACCTGACTGGCGATGCAATGCTGTCATCGGAGAAATCAGCAATTTTGGAAGATAAAATTACCTGTGGGACTCATTCATCAGGGAGCATCCAGTCTTTCAAAAGCGGTGTCACGCAGGATCCTTCCAAAGGATTTAATGAAGGAAATTGTTTATTGTTTCCACAAAACTCTGATGACACTGAAGTATCTCCTTTACCCGATTTAGTTCGACCTTTATCTGCAGACACTCCAACAGCTAATGGTGAAGTTCTGGTGGTTCCTGTGACTGAGAGCAGGATTAGTACAAAAGTTTTAACCTTTGCCACAGACCTAAGCAGTCCTTGTCAACGGCAGAAGCAACACCGGGATTCAGTGTATCTTGAAACAAGGCGCCTTTTCAGGAAATCATATATGGAGGCTTTGCAGAACCCAATGCAACTGGGCTTCAGTTCTGAGGAGTCTATTGTTGAGGAAGCCATGGGGCATAAAACTGAAGTGATCAGCAATGGAAGGCTGAGGTTACGTACGAACAGAGCTGGTGCGAAACAGAACCGTAAGCATGACCTACATGCTGATCAGTTGAAAACTAAAGGAAGGAATGAGGAAACTAGAATCAGCCAGCAAAGTCAAGACCAAAACGTGCCTGTGACACTTGCAGAGCGTTGTTCTGTCACTGACAGTAAAACCTGCCGCAGGAGATCCAAGTCCTTGGATTTGACCTCCAAGAGCTTGCAGAGTAAAGCACTAAGGACGAGATTCTCTTCCGGGGATTCCTCAAAAAATCCCAAAAAAGTAATAAATGGAAACTCAGGGGAGCTAGGGAGACAGGAGTCTGATGGGTGTTTAGCCAATACCAAAAGTGGGTCCACTTCTCCAGGTAAACACTGAATTTCAAATCAACTGTCTGATTTTGACAATTTACATAACCATCAAATCTTAAAAGGTATTAAAGGCAATACATCACTCAATGACTGTGGAATCTTTTGGTAGCAGCAAGTTAATTAAAGCAGGGAATTTTGGAGATGATTTTTGTATTGAATTTTGACTGAGTAAGTTCCGATATATTGGGTGCTTCTTCCTTCATAACTATAATAATTGTACAAAGTTTTCTTTTATATTACTCCATTGTTTATTGACTGAATGAAAGCTCTTCTGTACTGTTGTTCATATTGCAGAATTAAATGACTTTCAGTGTCGGGGTCACGTTTGGTGGGGGGCGGCGATGGTAGGGGGGTGGGCATTGTGACACCAGACAGATGCAAAATTGGTCTCATTGGGCTGGACAATCCCAATGTCAACCTCATTTCAGTTCTGAAACTCGGATCTGGTTGTGGTGGAATGAGAGATGTGATCTTCCTGGAAAAACTTCCAATTCAGAAGCTGTCTTAGGGAGCTGAGTTCACATCAGGATGGTATGTGGACCAGAGAAATGTCTAATGGAGGCCTGAGTTATGGGATTAGCTGAGGCAGGTAGGACAGTAGGAGAGCTAATCAAGATGCAAGTGTATCGATCAAGTTCTCAGTAGGTAGAACTGTTGATTTTGACAGGGTGTCCCTTCACAGGACTTGCATTGACTGTGGGATTTTTACTCTGGACAATCCCTATACTGGAGGATATAACTCTAGTGGATCCCAGCCTATTAATAGCAGACTGTAGCTAGAGGCAAGCTGCCTCTGCACATATTGGTAGTGCCTGTCCTATTGCAGGAAGATCCTATTTCCATTGGGAAAAGGCTCCCAAGTGATGTACTGCCTTGATGGAGATGACTGCTAACTTCCTTGTCTACCCAGCTCTGGGTAGATCCATGGAGGCAGAAATGCATCCATAAGTTGATGTAGCACGCCCCTTTTATCCAGTCTCTGCCCTTCCCCGAACATCTCACATGTCCAATTATGTATCTCTGCATTAGACCAAGAATATTCAACATTTCTGTGATGGGAGTATAGGACCAGGGTTCCTGGTCAGGATTGTTGGTACGATTCTCACGCAATTGGACAATGTATAAAGTCAGACACAAATGATTTTCTTGATAAGTTCAAGAAGGTAGCTCACCACCACCTTCTCAGGGGCAACTAGGGACAAGCAATAAATGCTGAACAGCCAGCAACTCCCACATCCCATAAGTGAATAAAAACAAAAGGCTTATTTACAGAATGTAGCAATACATATGTCAATGTTTAAATAATGCCTGACAACTGTATATCTTAATATAATTAAGATACTATTATCAAATATGATAATACAGCGATCTTTGTTAGATGACACAAGAGTTTGACAATCCTTCCCTGGGTCAAATAACAAAACCAATTAACTGAATGTTTCGTGCCTCATTTTGTCCACTGAGTTGCAGAACTGCAGCAGAGACAGAGACCCCTTTTCAACATAGATGTGTGGTTCGAGTAAGTCAGGGAGGGGAAGGGGTGATGGTGTTGATGTGGAGAGAATGGGTGTGAGCATTAGGTTGGAGATAGTGGGAGCAATTGGTTCAATTGTTGTGGGGGGGAATGAGTGGCCATTCTATTATCATGGACACAAGTTCCCAATTGGATAGCTATTTAGAAAGGGTGTGGCTCCAAATTCCAGCACCTTCAGGACAAGGTTGTGGTGAATTTAGCATCTTCCGGGATTTAGGTCACTAAAATCAGCTGGCATGTAATAGGCCAAATGCGTCACATAAAGACAGGGTGGTTAAAAAGGCATACAGCATGCTTGCCTTCCTTACTTCGTCCTTTGAGTATAGGAGTTGGGAAGTCATGTTGAAGTTGTACAGGACATTGGTGAGGCCTCTTCCGGGGTATGGTGTCCAATTCTGGTCACTCAGTTATAGGAAAGATATTGTTAAGCTAGAGCGGGTTCAGAAGAGTTTTACCAGGATATTGATGGGTATGGAAGGGTTTGGTTATAAAGAAAGGCTGGATAGGCTGGGACTTTTTCCACTGGAGTGTCGGAAGTTGACAGCTGACCTTATAGAGATTTATAAAATCATGAGGGATATAGATAGCGTTAATGTTAGGAGTGGATTCCCCTTGGATGAGGGACTTCAAGACTAGGGGGCATATTTTTAAAGTGAGAAGAGAGAGATTTATATAAGACATGAGGGGCAAATTTTTTACACAGAGGGTAGTTCATGTGTGGAATGAACTTTCTGAGGAAGCGGTGGATATGGTCACAGTTACAGCGTTTAAAAGACATTTGGATAAGTACATGAATAGGAAAGGTTTGGAGGGATATGGGACAGGAGCAGGCAGGTGGGACTAGTTTGGTTTGGGATTGTGTTCGGCATGGAGTGGTTGGACCGAAGGTCTGCTGTATGACTGTATGAAGAATAATACTTTGTAGTGAATACATAAATCTTGAGAAAAGTTCTTAGACTTATCAAGTTTTTCTCCTGTCATATTCGTCCAAGTAAGCAGCATAAGAAATTACTTTAAACCCCAGAGAATCTGAATCATATGAGTACAACACCAACTCCAAAAACACTGTGTGAGCAGAGGGAGACGCTATGGACTGGTTTGGCTCATGTAAAGTCAAAGGTCATTTAGGTTGATTTGGAGCGTGGGAACCATCTTGAGAAAACAGCAACACTGTCCAATCTCACAACATAGTAATGGCTACATAGGCCAGGTACCTGAGAGTGCCAAATACTTTCCCACGTGTATCTAAAGAAGAGTCACCCATTTCAAATGAGGAAGGGAATAGAATTTTCAGGTTACCAAAAAAAAAGAACAACGTGCCATCACACAGGCATCCAAATTGTGCTGACATATATTATCTGTTGCATCTCTCGAATAAGCTTAGCATTAGAGATTTCACCTGTCAGAATCACTTTAATACGCTGTCACTCTGATGCAGAAAAGTCCTTAAATTGCTGCAAAGACCTGCAGATGTGCAGTTGATGAGTGCAAAAGGTTCCTGACCTTTTATCCTTAAAACCTGAGAAAACGATCTTATTATAAGGAACAATGGTTGGTCTACGTTGACCTTTGACACTGTCCAACTGACTCAGCTCAATGTTTTTGATGTAATTATCACAAAGGTCAAAATAACATCGAGCAATGATTTCTTTGTTATGCTTAACATGAATGATTGACATTTGTGTGAATCTATGTTGCATTCTTATTTAGAATTATTTGGCTTTTACAGCATAAAAACAGGACATTTGGGTCAATTGATTATGCCAGTTTTAAAGCTCCAGATGGGTGTTCTCTCTCCATACTTGTTTAGGACTATCTGCATATTCTAATATTCCATTCTCTCTCAGGCTCTTGTCTAGATTCCTCTTAAACATGAATCTGCTAGTCACCTCAACCACACCTTGTGAAAGGGACCCCACATTTTCACCTCTGTATGAGTAAAAGAGGTTTTGCCTGAATTCCTTAATCAATTGATGACTGGTGATCTTAGATTGGCCCCTACTCTCCCACTTCTGGTAATGTCTCCCTACACCTACCCTCACAGACCCTTGTATAATTTTAAAAGTCTTTATAAGGTGACCCCTTTTCTGGAGAATAAAAGTACTAGCCTGTTCAGCCTTGCAGTGTTTCTGTTTTGGTTCCATCCTTGGCCTCTGCCTTCCCCAATGCCTCAGCATCCTTTTTGTAATAAGGACTAGCACTGTGCACTGTATGCTGAAGAAACAAAGAACAGTCTCGCAGGGATAGGCCTTTTGGCCCACCAAGATTGTGTCGACACATGATGCCTTTCTAAATTAAAAAGCTTTTGCCTCTAAGTCGTCCATATCCCCCTGTTCCTTGCCTGTTCATATATCTGTCAAGATGCATCTTAAATGTTGCTATTGTATTGCCTCCACCACCTCATCTGGCAGCGCATTCCAGGTACTTACAAACCTTTGTGTAAAAAAAAATTGCCTCTCACATTTCCTTTAAATTTACCTGCTTTTACCTTAAGCCCATGTCCCCTAGTAATTGAAATTTCTACCCTGGGAAAAAGATTCTGACTGTCCCTTCTATCTCTGCGTCTCATAGTTTTGTAACCTTCCATCAGGCCATCCATGGTCACCCGTCATCCTTTGATGGTCAAGTAAAACAAACAGAGTTTGTCCAATCTCTTCTCACAGCTAATACTCTCCAAACAAGGCAGCAGCCTGGTAAACCATTTCTGTACCCTCTCCAAAGCCTCCACATCCTTCTGGTAGTGTGGTGACCAGAACTGTACACAATAGTCCAAATGTAGCCTAACTAAAGTTGGATACAGCTTCAACATGACTTGCCAATTTTTATACTCTCTGCTGTGACTGATGAAGTCAAGTGTGTTAAATGCCTTCTTGACCACTTTATCTGCTTGTGTTGCCACTTTCAGGGAACTGTGGACATGTACACCTAGATCCCTATGTATGTTGATGCTACTGAGGGTTCTGGACATTTCCCTCCTGCATTAGATCTCCCAAAATGCATTACCTTGCATTTGTCTGGATTAAACTCCATTTGCTATTTCTCTGGCCAAGTCATGTGTCATGGTGGCATTCAAACCATTCCCCAATACATTAGCTGAGTTTCTGCATTAACAGTCTAACGATGATATAACTAGGCCATCTCCTCCCCAAGTGTTACAAGCAAGTGAGTATTCAGTGCCAGAGGGCATGCAGGGTCGTGGTGTTGGGGGTTGAGACGGGTGATAGAGAGTGAGGGAAGATATTCCAGGCAGTAGTGAGGGAAGTAGAACATGAGCCTTTGGTGGGAGGTGAATACAGTAGCAAATATAGAGTGAGTGTGCAGTATCAGAGAGAAGATGGCAGCAGTTCCACTGATGAAGTGGAGAAAGTTATCGATCTTCCTGCTACAGAGCTGTGCATTTCTCCAGATGGCTGAGACTTTGTTAATAAGTGGCAACCTCAATGAGGCTTCCATTTTCTGAAGTCATGGCCTCCACTGCTGTTCTTGGGGGAAGAGGAACTCTTGGATCTGCACAGCCGTATCCAGCAGGAGCTCTAGGTCTCTAGCCATAAATCAGGGCACTGATTTTTCACTGTCTGCTGTGTCCAGGGAAAATATCAGGAACAGTGCAGTGCAGCTGCATGCTGACAATGGTTGTCCACATGCACAAAAGGCTTTTAAAGATGGCTCGGGTGCAAAGCATGCTGGTGAATTCTGGGATATCGGCTGAGTGGCAAGTTGTTCTGGGAGCATTGAGTGGTAAGGTGAGACAGGAATCAGACTTGAGGGACTCCATAGGAGCTAGTGAGGTAGTTGATGAGGTGAGTTTGGTAAGGTATCGTAAGAAAACCTTTGGAACAAGCCACCCCAGACAATTAACATTTGATGAACAAGAGGGACATAAGATACTCCCTTGGCTCTCAGTTAACCATATCCAGAAGCAAGTGACCCGACCATTTGCCTCATTGATCTGTTTTAGTTATATTTTCTAACACAGCTGCAATGACTAGATTTCAAATTTTCTGTAGTGAAGCAATTTTCATTTTCCTTACATTAATGGACTTGATCTTGCCCCAGCCAATCTTGTTCTGCTTCCGCAGAACCCACTGTGTAATATTCAAGAGATATTGTGTTCCCAAATTCATTTGGATTCAAACCCATTGTGGCACCCCACCGCTGCATGGGGTGAGATCAGCTAATCGTGTACAACCTGATAATTAACCTTCCTGAGGTTTTGTCATAACTTCCAACAAAATTTCCAATCAGTGGCAAGCATGGAATCCTACGTGGTAGCAGAGAGAAGATGGTGGCACTTGACCTTGCGAGCACAGAAGATCATTGACTTCCTTACTACTGTGCTGGCCATCCCACTTCACCCAGGACATAGCTCTGACTTGGGCTGCAATTTGTGGCCAGATGGACTTGGTTTGGGAGCATGGCCTCCTGCAGCGGCCAGATGGGACAAGGACTACCCTCTTCTCCACCATCACCCAGTCCAACAAGACCTCCAAGTCCCCATTTGTGAAGTGGGGAATAAGCTTTCCTTCCCTCTGGACCACGTCCTGAATGTAGATTCTTGGGTACCACAGTGTGAGGGGGGGTACCTCCTGCCTTGTAGTGCCTGAAGTATGGGCCAAATGCTGGCAAATGGGACTAGATTTATTTGGGATACCTGGTCGGAATGGACAAGTTGGACCGAAGGGTCTGTTTCCTTGCTGTCAAGCTCTATGCCTCTGTGACTGTAAATGATGTGCAGCTGGGCTTCAACTGTGGTCACAGCAGCATGAAAGCAGGAACGTCCCAGGTGTGGTAAGTATTTCCACCTTTCCGGCTGCATCATTCCTTAGGGAAAGAGTGTGGTTGCGTAGTCCTTGAGCTGAAGAGCAGGTGATTGTGTGAGGAAAGATGCTCTGAGCCAGGTGGACTGGGTGTTGTGGCTATCAGCCGACGAAACACTTTTTAACTAAAAATGGAAAATTCTGCCCAAAGTATCATTTTAATGTTTATATCCATAAACATCAAAGTCACTTTGGCTTGATGTCTACCTGTGAATTGCATCCACTTTAAAACCCAGCATTGATTTGGCAGGGGAATGCAGTTTCTTAATTCAGATCAGATTTCAATTCAGCTGGAACTTGCTCATTTCCAATCATCAATCTAAACAAAACTTTCCCTGAGTGTCACCATTTAATATGTTGAAAAGTATGCAATTCTATCCCTCCGAGCTTCAGTGCATCCAGGAGCTCTTTTATGACTTTGCACATTAATATTGACTACAAGTACAGCACCAACAACAATTTGCATTTTTATAGCGCCTTTAACATGATTGGTCGAGATTTTTCACTGAGCCACATTCTGGGATTGGTAATCGAAGGCTTGGTCAAAGTGCAAGGCTTTAGGGATCTCCTTAAAGAAGGAAAAAGTAGAGAAGTGAAAAGAAGGAAGTCCAGAATTGACGGCCCAAGCAATCGAAGCTATGGTCACCAATGCTGGAGCAATTCAAGGCAAGAATTACAGAAGTACAAGATTGTAGGACCAGAGCAGATCATGTAGGTCATGAAGGATTGAGACCGCGGAGAAATTTAAAAACAAAAATGAGAATTTCAAAACGGAGATATTGTTGGACGGGGAGCTAATTTAGTCAAGCACGGGAGTGATGAGTGACCAGGGCTTCGTGCAGGCAGCAGAGCTTTGGATGAGCTTTAGACCAGAATAGATGCTTCTAGAATGATTGAAGAAACAGAATCATTACTGATCCTAATCACATCTGGGCTTTGCACTTCAGAAACAAAACGCCACAGATTTATACAGCAAAGCCCAACCAATTATCTCCTTTTGCTGTGCGTGACGTTTATTTGGAACTGCGTTTCCATTTCACATGAATCTTACAAAGCAGCAACATGTTTTTTTTTCAATCTCTCATCGCCTTCTCAGATATGTTGTGTTGCCAAGGGTCATGAGCGTGGGCAGAGAAAGCAGAGATCCCATGTAGAGAAATGAGAGCCTTCACATTGTGGGCACTTTGCCCAGTGGCTTATCTGCATTCACATTTTAGGATTTCAGTTTCACACTAAATACCAAGAAAAAATTGCTCTGCAAATTTCTGATGCTTTATTTTGGTCGAGTTGTAAGTTGTTTATTGGTGGAGTCTCCTGAATATTGTGATGTTGTTTTAATGAGACTGATTTGCTTTTAGCAGGTTCCTTCCAGAGCTGTGCGGTTGAGATGCAGAGGAGGAGCAGCTGCCAAGCAGTTTTGAACAATACGTGGGAAGACACAGAGATTCCTCCTCCAGCACCTTGCCCTCAAGCCTCACTGCAGGCCCAGGGTTCCACCCAAGCCTGCAACAGCCTGCCAACAAAGGCCGCAGAGGTCAACGTCAACTTACTGCAATCGGGAGTCGCCCAGTTACCAGGTTGGTGTGCTCTGCCGCAGAAAATGGCTTCAGGCAAAAAAAAAGCACAAACAGCGTGGAGGGGCGGTGGGTGGGCTGAGAAGAACAAGATGGAACAGCAAACACTCCGGCGGTTTTAGCTAAATTATCAGTCAGTTAGATTCTCGGCTAAAACATCAGCAGGAAACCTTGGATGGTATCATAATGAGCATTCAAGATTAATAAAACGAACCACCGTGTAACTCGGAAATATGCTCCAAACTCCCTGGATGGCTGCGGCCAAACATCAGTGAGGGGCTGATATCTGTAATTATCAGGAAAGTCTCTAACTTAATCCCTGGCCTAGAAGAAGAGTTGACATCCTAAATGAACATTGAGACATTTAAAATTATAAAGCTGAATCGTAACTCCTCCAAAAAGGGCATGTTCAATGCAGCCATGTCAGAGGTTAAAGTGCAAAGAATCTGGAGGAGGAACTGATCCTGCCTTGGCCCCACACAGCTTTGATTAAAATGAAGGTGAAATAAGGATAGTGCAATGCCCACACGAGGGAATTGAATTGGCCATTTCAATGTCAATGTCAATGAAGCTTCCAGGTGGTGTATAGCCAGTTTTCGGTACACTGCAGTTTAATTCCATAGAGCACCTTTCCCAACTTAACAACAGTCCTCCACCTGCACAGAGCACCACACCTCCATATTAACATCTATTCTGTACCGTACAGCCAGAGGCCATTTGGCCGATCCTGTTTGTGCTGGCTCTTTGAAAGAGCAATCCAGTCATTCTCATTCACTTCTGTCTACCCTTAGGCTCGCATCTTTGTCCTTTTCAAGTATTTAGCCAATTGATTTTCAAATCATATTGTTGGCTATGCTTCCATTGCACTATCAGGCATTCTAAACCCTAACCAAGATGCATAAACATCGTAAAACTGCTGTCTTCATCCAACTAATGTGTGTGTGTGGACCCTGGATGAAGGATTCTGTTTACCAGTGATGCATAGAAGAAACATAGAAGGTAGGTGCAGGAGGAGGCCATTCGGGCCTTTGATCCTGCTCCGCCCAACTTGAGTAGCCTGATATTGGCCCAAGTATGGAGATGGACCTCTCTGGTGAGGTACTGGAGGAATGCTGTCACTTGTAGTGCATAAGAACAGAAGATGTAGGTGTAGGAGTAGGCCTCATAACCTCCCTTGCCGGTTACGCCATTCAAAATGAACAAGTCTCCACTCCTCTTTCCTTCCAGCTCATCATATTCCTTGATTTCGTGGGAGACCACAGATCTGTCTATCTTGGCCGTAAATATATTCAGTGATGGAGCATTCATGAGAACCCAGAGACTGAACTCCATTTATAGGATCATAGAATCATACAACATGGAAAACAGACCCTTCAGTCCAACTCACCCGTGCCGACCCGACATCCCAATCTGACCTAATCCCATTTGCCAGCATTTGGCCCATATCCCTCTAAACCCTTGCTATTCATGTATTCATCCAGGTGCTTTTTAAATGGTGTAATTGTACCAGCCTCCACCACTTCTTCTGGCAGCTCGTTCTGTACATGCGCTACCCTCTGTGTGGAAAAGTTACCCCTCAGGTCCTTTTTAAATCTTTTACCTTTCACCTTAAACCTATGCCTTCTGGTATAAAACTCCCCCACTCTGGGGAAAACACCTTGCCTATTAACCCTATCCATGCCCCTCAAGATTTTGTAAAGCTCAATAAGGTCACCCCTCAATCTCTGATGCTGCAGGGGAAATAACCCCAGCTTATTCAGCCTCTCCCTATAGATTAAACCCTCCAGACCTGGCAACGTTCTTGTAAATCTTTTCTGCACCCTCTCAAGTTTAACAACATCCTTCCTACAGGAGAACAACCAGAATTGTATGCAGTATTCCAAAAGTGGCCTCACCAATGTCCTGTACAGCTGCAACATGACATCTAAACTCCTATACTCAGTGTTCTGACCAATAAAGGCAAGCATGAAAAAGTTTCTCCCCTTCTAGCCTGTACCCCTATTAGACTCTGCAGCCAGCAGTAACAACCTCTCAGTATCTACCCTGTCAATCTCCTAGATTATTGAGGATAGATAGGAATGTGGAATTCAGAACAGAAATAGATGAAACTGAACACAAGTGCCGATCTTATTGAATGGATCAACAGGCTTGAAGGGGCGAATGGCCTACTCTGCTTCTAATTCATATATTCACATGTTGACTGTACTGCCTCCAGTACAAATATGTTCTTCCTTCAATATGGCAGCCAACATCCGTATAGTACTGCTGACATGGTCTCACCAATGTGTTTTATAATTATTATCATGAACACTTCCTTGTTCTTGTACTCTAGTTCATTTTCAACAAAGGCCAACATGCCATATACCTTCTTAATCGCTATCTCTATCAGCATGCTAACTTTATACTGCTTGTACAATTACACTCAAGTCACTCTGAACATTGTGTAAAAGATTCATATTTTAAAAAGATATTGCTTTCTATTCTTATTAAATATATTGAATAACCATACCCAATCCCATTTTAAACTCTATATTGGGCAAACTTGTACCCCTGTCTTTTATCCTGTATTTCATTCCACCTAGCTTGTATCATTGGCAAACATTAATGCATTACTTTTGGTTTCCTTACGTAAATCATTGAAATACACTGAACAGCTGAGGCCCCCGTATTTGTCTTTGTCATCACTGGTCATCAACTTCCAACTTGAAAGTGCCCTGTTATCCCTTTTCACTGCTTATAGTTTGTCGATGTTCAGGCTAATAGATTACTCCCAAATTCATGAGCCCTTATCTTCTTTATTAACCCTTTTCCTTGTGGGGCCTTATCTAGTAAATTTTCAAAATCAGTGTTTATTACATTTTGGTTCACTTTTATTTGTCTAAAACAAAACTTTGCTCACCAACAAGGAACTGCAGCCGCTGGAAACCTGAAACAGCAACAGAAATTGCTGGAGAACCTCAGCAGGTCTGGAAGCATCTTTGGAGAGAAAGCAGAGTTAATATTTTGGGTCCAGTGATTCTTCATCAGAACATTGCGTCTGCCTTCTCCTTAGAGATGCTGCCAGAACTGCTGAGGTTCTCCAGCAATTTCTGTTTTTGTTCCACTCAGAAGCACATTAGGAGAGTGTTCAGTGGGATGAGCAAATATTCAGAAAAAAGTGTTGAATAATTTGTTCAGTGCCACATGGTATCATCTAGCATGTTAACAATTGGATGCTAGCTCTTCAGCAATGTACCCAAGAGTTCCTGACTTTCCACTTAGTGGGACAATGCTCCAACAAAGATAGATCTCCATTCAATATCTTAAGCTCCAAGATTTTCTGCAGTAAATGATGCACAATGAGTGTTAAGAGTTTAAATACTCTCCAACTGTCCAAATGTAGCCATCTGATTCCTGCAGCAAATCTTTTATCTGTAACATGTCCTTTGCTGAGTTTCGTCAGTTGCTTCTGACCAAGCTCATTTAAAAACATTGATCTCATCTTCAAATCCAACCTATTCAACTTCCTCCTAAACTATCTGACAAGGAGCCCTCGTGGTGCATTGTGTTCTGCACCTGAAGCTCTGAGTCCGAGACCCATTTCAGGAGTTGCTGGTCATGGAATGTGCATCATCAAACAGGTTGATTGTCGATCTGCAAATCCTTCCAATATGCCTATGGCAGACAGTGAGCGTGGGAGTACCTCCTGGCTAGCCAAAACCTCACATATTGTAGCTGCAACATAGGAGCCTTCCCATATGAAAAAAAAATCCATGTGCAGGTCCTCGACAAAGGATGAACCCCTTGACAAGCATCCTCTTTACTTTCAGGGAATACCAGAAAAGAAAAAATGCTTCAATTCTTCAACTGTGGAACATTGTGCATCTCCTCCCTCTCTTTTCTCCATCATTGATGTCAGTGCCTTCAGTTGCTCAGAATCCACTCTCTAGAAATTCCTCCCTTAACCTTACCACCTCTCCTTTTCTCTGTCCACCATTAAAAAAATCTTCTCAAGTCCAATAATTTCAATTAATTGTTAGTCAACTTTCCAGCTGTCTCCTTGCACAGTTCAACATTAATTTCCTTTTCTTCACCAAAGTTTTACTCTGACCTCTCTATAGAGCACTTTAGAACATTTCCTGTCTGTAGGTGGGTTAGTGATGGTTAAAAGCTCCATGGATATGGATATGTGGTGGTGGAGGGTAGTGGGCGGAAATGGGTGCAGACTCTTACTGCACTGTATGGATTCTGTGATTCTATGACATCTGAATATTTTGGTCAGAAATGAATACAATTTGGCCTAAGATATGTGGAGAAGAATTATTTCGCAATTCGTTTACTTGTAATTTACTCTCCAGGGAACAGAGACAAAGCTAATCGAGCTGTGATCCAGATCCGTACGCACAACGTAATATGGATGAGCCAAAACTGGCCCAGCACAGAGCTGACCTATATACTCCTGTATTACTACACTATTCCAAGGTATGGAAACTATAGATTCCTTGGAATGTCCATTTGATTTGGTATTTTGGTAAGGTTTTGCCCTGTTTCTGGTTAATTATACATCCTTTATTAAAAGTCTATATCGTCTCTATTCAGACTACTGACGTTTCATTGAACATTTTGGTGATCATTTTCACTCAGCTGATGGGCAACGGCTTTTGCTTTTCAGGCAGTCTGCGTCAGCTTCAGTATTCCAGCTCATGTTTTATGTGGTTATTTCAGAGAAAAGCTCCCTTCAGTATACGGTACTAATACATCGTCATATGAGGTTATAATTTTCCCAATTAGATGTGCTTCCAGAAGTGAATTATTGCATGGGCCTATCGAGTTTGTATCAATGTATCCCACCGTATCCCTTGCTACTGTTAATCAACGGTACAGCCCAGTTTTGAGAATCCTTAATTTACATGTTTCTGATATTCCTCTCCAGCCTAGTATTTCATGGTGTTAAGTTATGGTTTGACATTGTCATTCTTAAGTAATCATTTATTATATTGTAAACCAAGGCAAAGTTAGTGGGCTATACAACTGAGAAGGTCATCACTTATTTCCACCATTACAAATTGTCCACTCTTAAGCATTTTCCAAACAGGCACCATTAGACAATGATCTGTCATATGAATGTGGGCAGTTAGCACCCTCCATAGACCTTGTGACAAATTGCATTGCTCTTACCACCTTGTAGGATGCATTTGCCCAAAGGAGCGCTGAATGGAAATTGACTCTGGAGCATCTGATCTTTGTGATTCAATAGCATGTAATGTCTGACAAAGTCAGTGGCACAAGCTGAAATAATCCCTCAACACCCATCAGCCTCCCCCAGAATATTATGCTTGTTGAATGATGGTCATTGCATTTATAAGGATTAACAGGACAATTCCATTGTTAGAAGCTCCTAACAAGAATTACCATTCACGGGGAACCCATGAATGATTGATGTACAGAGTCAGTTGATTAGTGCTGGTTTAGTAAAGTTACAGATTTCAGGTTAAGGCTGTCTTGACAGAGATCTAGCTGAGTAAGGGTTCTCAGCAGTCAGTTCAACTTGGCTAAGGATGGCCGCTGGTGTATTTTGATATTTTCTCTTGTTTCCATTTGCCACTCTCTTCGTATGGAAGAGTGCTGTGGAATATTTAGGACAGTGGCGAAAGACTTCTTCAACAGTCTCCCTGTCTCACCTCCGCACGGGATTATATGGAGAGTGCTGTTGTGGCACAGTGGCAGTGTCCCTACCTCTTAGCCAGGAGGTCTGGGTACAAGTCCCACCTGCTCCAGTGGTGTGTGATAACACCTCTGAACAGGTTGAGTAGAACATGTGTAGAGTTACATAGATGAAGCTGAATCAGTGAGCAACCTCTGTACACCAGAGGTTATTTGTTATGTTATTGAAATACATCAGTGACAAAATTCTAAGCTTGAAACAGACTAAATCCCTAGCAACAGCGAACACAATAATAATGGGATGTTCGATAACCAGAGCAGAAGAAATACAGGTGCGCTGGCTCATTCAACCAACAATGTTGTTTGGCTTGTTCCATAGTGGTTGTGTAGGAAACACCTGTGACTTGGATTTATTGGACAGATTGAGAAAACAAATGAAACAAAGACAAAATGTGTGAAGACCAAGAGGGAAAGAAAACACTAGTGTACTGGAAAATAAAGCTTTTAGTGGGCCATCTTGATTTTTGGGAAGCATCAAAGTAAATAGTTTCCAAAGTATTTGAATCTTTTTGATGTGTTTTCACAGAGGCCAATCTGCATTGAGAAAACCCAACTTTTCCTTTCACAATTGAAGAAATAAGCTAGCCCACTTGAAGCCTTACTATGTGTACCTCAGAGCACAGCTGTATCTCCAGTGCCTAGAAATCAAAGGCACATAGGAACAGTATTGCCTCAAAATTCCCCTCTAAGCTGCAAACCATTCCAATTATGATCAATTATTCGTTGTTGTTGGATTCAAATTTCGAAACTTGCCAATTGATAACACTGGGGGAAGCACCATTACCACAACACATTTGCAGGGAGAAGGTCCATTGCTACCTTTTCAAAGGCAGTTAAGGATATGCAATAAATACTGGCCTTATCATAGAATGTCTACATTGTGGAAGCAGGCCATTTGGCCCATTGACTCCATACTGACCCTCTGAAGAGCATCCCAGCTAGATCCATCCCCCTACCTTACCCTTGAAACTCCGTGTTTCCCACGGCTAACCCACCTACCCAGCATGCCCCTGGAGACTATGGACAATCTGGCATGGCCAATCCACCTAACCTGCACATCTTTGGACTGTGGGAGGAAACTGGAGAACCCAGAGGAAAACCACCCAGACATGAGGAGAATGTGCAAACTCCACACAGACAGTTACCTGAGGGTGGAATCAAACCTGGGTCCCTGGTGCTGTGAGGCAGCAGTGCTAACCACTGAGCCACTGTGCCAATGCTTATCTGCAATGCAGACATGCTAAAAAATGTATTAAATGGTCACAAGTATAGTAAATCTGAAAATAAAATGTACTGCAGATTTACTTTGCAGCTATTCTTCGCAGCTAGTATTTAATCCATTTGGAGATTTCTTGGCTTGGGATATAATCTCAGCAAATTGGAGATGCAAGTGCATAGGTATTTCTGTGCTCACACAGAACAAGTTCAACCTGACAACAACAAAGAAGAAGGAAGAACAAATGTACATCCATTAACCACACAGAGATGGATATCATTGATTCAGTTCTCTTAGCAAAGGCTCTCAAACAAAAACATATTTGTGTGGGTTTTTGTGTAGCCCTTACAAACATGCTGTAAGATAGAATAAGATTTTCCTATGAAACTTGGCACAATCTCTTCAGGATGTGTGTAGTTAGTCAGATATGTTTTGTGCAGACTATGAGGGAAAGTACATGGAACACAAAGAGCTCTTTTCAATTCTTTATTTCTTTTTGGTCAGCATGATTGCACGTAATCTGTGCTTAAGTGTTGTTCTGAATAAGTACAGTCAGGTTTGTTTCCTTTTGAATGAAGCATCAAACTGAGGCCACATTTGACCTCTCAGGTAAATGATAACAATCCCAGGGCACTGATGCAAGGCACTGCTGATGCTCGAGTTCTGAAACAGGGACAAATAAAGCTGGAAAATGTCAGGCAGCATCTGTGGAGTGAAGCCAATGTTAATGCTTTAGGTCAATGACTTTCATCAGACCTAAAGGGAAATGGAAGTGTAAGAGTTTTTGAGCTAGAGAATAGGCAAAGGGATATAGAATCGTAGGACCCCTACAGTGTGGAAGAAGGCCATAACGCCCGATGAGTTCACACAAACCCTCCAAAGAACATCCCACACAGACCCACCCTAACGCTACATTTCCCACGGCTAACGCGCCTAACCTGCACATGCCTGCACACTATGGGCGGTTTAGCATGGCCAATCCACCTAACCTGCACACCTTTGGACTGTGGGAGGAAACCCACACAGACACGGGGAGAACGTGCAAACTCCACATAAACAGTCGCCTGAGGGTGGAATTGAACCCGAGCCCCTGGCGCTGTGAGCCGCCATGCCACCCATAGGAAGAGCGAAAGAGAAGATCTGTGATATGTTTACATGTCAAGGGAAAAAGATTTCATGGCACAACTGGCAAAAGGAGTAGTAATTGAATATAGGACAAACATTGTCTGAGGTGTGAATTGCAGCATAAAAATTTGAATAAAACATGAAGGGAAAACAAAATGAAACAAAGTAAACACCAACCCAATAAAACAGAAAAGAAGACAGAAGCACAAATGTTAAATAGGAGAAAGAGATTATGATCTAAGATTGCTGAACTCAGTGTTAAGTCCAAAAGTTGTGGTAGAAGGTGGGATGTCCCTTTCATTGTTCTGGAAAGGAGGGGAAGGGGTGACAGTAGAGGTATATGAAATGGATTGGACACTTTGGAGGCCCTGTCAACTGCACTGAATGGGATTGTTTGGGTGAGAGAAAAGGAAGACATATGATAAGCTGTTGGGTCAAAATCCTAGAATTCTCTCTCTAACGACTTTGTTGGGCTACCTACAGAACATGGAGTACAGTCGTTCAAGAAAGCAGCTCACTACTACCTTCTCAAGGGCAAACTGGGACAGGCAATAAATGTTGGCCTAGACAATGGCATTCACATCTCATGAGTGAATTTTTCAAAAAAATGCATTAGTGTGGAAGGCAGAATCATCAGGACAGATTTGATGGAAAGAGGGAAACTGAAACAATGGATTGGCATCATTACAGCATTTGAGGAAATGTAGTCAAGTTATCGTGGATTGCAGTCCGCGGATTTTTTGTGAGCATTAGTAGATAGGCTATTTCCAGAAAATGGACAGGGATGTCAGAGAAGGAAAGAGAAGTGTTAGAGGTGTGAAAGGTCATTGACCTGAAGCATTAAGTCTGTTTGCTCAGGTAAAGAGGAGGAAAGGTAAACATTTGAAGTGGAATCAATAAGATGTTTCAGTTCACAGTTGGATCAGGAGATAGCAGAATGCAATCATCAATGTACCTGGAAAGGTCATGAGAAGAGCGAGCCTGAGTAGGTGAATGAATATTTCACATATCCTTCAAAAAGGTAGGTATAACATGGACCCATACGGGTATGACTTGCGACAACTTTTATTTGAAAGAAGTGAGTCCAGTTGAAAGATCTCCATATTGAAGAGGAAATGGTTTGGGCCTGGAAATTGGAAATTATTGAACGGGTGTAGGGCATCAGAAAATTCATGGCCGTTGTTCAGAAGAGACTGGACAAGAACAGAACACAAATGAAGTTGAGATAGGAAGAAACAAGCGGCAGGCTGAAACAGTTGAGTGACCTGAGGAATCTTGTTTCTGGATCTTCAGAAGGAGGTAAAAATGGTGTGTTTGGGGTCGGAGAACTGTGGGTTTGAAGACAATAAAGGGAAGATTTCCAAAAGGTACAAGGCCTGTAATACAATGGTTTGATTTTCATTGTAACTTGCTCTGCAAATTGGCTTTTTGCATTACAACAGTGACTACACTTCAAAAAATGTGAAATACTTTAGGATTTCGCTGAAGAAGAAAGTGGGAAATCTTACAGAGACTGAACAAGTGATCCTTCCTGAGAGTGGGAAATGATACATTGTTGGTTCTTTAGAGAAAGCATAATTACTAAATGAAATTGACCAACCTCATTTTCTCAAAGACATTGCCTATAATAGTTATTATTCCTTGAGCCCAAATGTCTGCTAACCATTTGGGAAAATTTGCGTTGAAGTAAATGAACCCAATGTTGATTCACAAAATGAAGTATAGATAGTTCTCCTACAATGTGATAGTTGCATTCTAGTGTGCCCTTGAGCTATAGAAAATCACCACCGAAAATGATTATAGGGAAATTGCTATAGAAAATCGCTTAAACCTGTACAGCAGAAAGTTCACGTTCTCCAAACAGCATCCACTATTCATCAATTGCGTTACAGCCAATTCGCGTTAAAGAAATATGCGTTATAGCAGAACTACCTGTAAGTGGTTAGTTCTTAAGGATCCAAAACCTAATTGGTAGGGAATTACTGACACACTGCACTATTTCTGCTATATCCTGCTATTTTCAAGAAGCAGATATAGTCCTAAGAGCTAAAGGGATCAAAGGGTATAGGGAGAAAATGGGAACGGGAATTGCACAATCGGCCATAATCATGTTGAATGTTGGAGCAGGTTCAAAGGGCTGAATGGCCTACTCCTGTTATTTTCTATGTTTCTATCTTAACCTTCTATTCTGAACAGCTAGCAAGGATGGCAGCCTCAAGCCAATGGGATCCTTCATTAAATGTTCAGGTCAGAGTTTGGTGTGGTCATAGGGACGAGGCCATATTTCTAACTTTTGAGCTGAGTGGGGACACCATGGTGACTTCCTGCCCAGTGAAGACAATGGAGTTGGTGCAGGAAGAGATGCAAGAACTAAATTTAGATCCATTTCCAGGTGAAGGAGGAGTACTCCTGGTAACCCTTTCCTGTAACTAGCTTGAATGGCAGGGGTATCATTCTGTCTGCTGAATTTCCTCTTGGGCAACTAACTACTGACATGCAGATGACTGATGCGTTGAGAGATGGCTTTTTAATTGCATTTGTCCCTCCTCACTCCCTTGTTCTCTGTTAACATCAGTGCTGTAATGTGCCGGGACCAATGAAGGATGGCCAAGAATTGCAGTCTTGGCATCATCACCTATGTCCTGAGAACAAATAGAAAAATAAATCCATTAATCGTATGTAAGAAAAATAAAATTTGACACCATCTGTTATCATATTCTAAAATCTCATAATAAACTGATCTAACTATGAAAATATGACCCAAAATGTAATGAGAATGAAATTTGATTTTTCAGCTTTTGAAAGATTAATGGTAATGTTGCTGGACTGGTGGGTATTAATATATTGTAAGCTGATAACATGATGCCATCAATCTGTTATATGGCCTATTTAACAACTGCAGATCATAAGCCTGGAGCATTTTGAAAAATACCCTGTGTATCAAAGTGCAATGGAGCTTGGTTGGAAGTGTGCAGGAAGTGCTGCAGTGACCTTTATTTAGTTTCCATGTGTTGTCATCACAGTTCTGCCCTTTGGTAGAAGCACTGAATAAACAACAAGGTTTTCCGTTTTTGAATGCTTTGCCTAAGGCATCAGTTTTATTACTCAACTGTCCCTGCTCTGAAACTTGCCATTAGCCTCACTCATTTGTACAAAGTGCTGGCATTTTATCGGAAGTTGTGTCTTTTCCCATTGCTCTATTCCACCCTCAGACCTGCTATGCTATTGCAGTTTGCAGTTTGATGGAGATGTTGGCACATCAGCGTACCAAGTACAGGAGGGACAAAATGCTCTCCCACCTCCTGTTACCTTTCACAATAACCAATGTGAATCGAATTGTTTTTTATTCAACATATTTTGTACAACAGCAGTTTCAGTGCAGAAGCACATTTCGCCCCAGGTTCTGCCACGCTGAGGTATTTAGAAGCAGATACAGCAGTAACTTCCAAAAGAAAATTGACAGTGTAAGTTTTGCACAGCAATTGACTAACTGATAGCTCTAGGGACACAGGCACATTTGACTAAATGGCCTCCTTCTGTAGACAATTCTATGTACTTTGAGTGACTGTGACTGAGGTAAAAAAAGTTCACACCATTCCCCTCTTCTCCATACATCCAGTAGCTTATACTGTTCTGTTTTCATGGTTCAATGACACTTCCACTGATTACCTTACCCAGGAGGCACTTGTGTCTTGGCCTCGAGTGTAATTTTATGCAGATGATTTGACCATCATGTCTTCGTCTAATCTTCTTGCATGCATCTTTCCCAGCAAATACCAAAGTGGCTCCCCAGTTTCAGACAGGTTGATAGGAGACTGTTGTCAGTCTTTTACAACAGGACCAAAGGCAGTTGTTAGCAATCTGCCTGGAAATGCAGAGGATAATTCCAACTTTTACCACTTGGTGGAAATCAACTGCCCTCTTTACACCTCACACCATTTGAAGCTAGTGGAAAGTAGATTCATAGAGGTGTCAAATATGTTTTTAAAATACTTATCACCCGTTTTCTGTCTGTGGTTGATAATTACAATTTCTGCACTGTTAAGGCTTTTGTGGCGCAGTGTAGAATCCCTACCTCTGGAGCAGGAGGCCAAGGTTCAAGTCCTACCTGCTTCAGGAGTGTGTCGTAACATCTCTTAACAGACTCATTTGGAAAATATCTACAATTAATCCACATTAATTAGTGCACAATGTGAAAACCTACTTTGGATAGAAGCTTCATCAAGAATAGTAGCAACAATATACAGAAAGATCTAGGCATACGTGTCCATAGTTCCCTCAAAGTGGCAACACAAGTGGATAAGGTGATCAACAAGGCCTAAGGCATCATTTGTTGGGGCAGAGAGGATAAAAATTGGTAAGTTACGTTGCAGCTGTGTAGAACTTTACTTAGGCCACATTTGGACTATTGGATACAGTTCTAGTGACCATACTCCCAGAGGATTGTGGAGGCTTTGGAGACGGTACAGAAACAGTGACCAGGATAGAACCTAATTTGGAGAGTACCAGCTATGAGGAGAGATTAGACAAATTTGGTTTGTTTTCACTTGAATGTCAGAGGCTGAGAGGTGACCTCATAGAAGTTTGCAAAATTATGAGAGAAATGGACAGAATGGATAATTGGAAGTTTCTTCCCAGGATTGAAATGTCAACTATTAGGGAACGTAAGTTTAAAGGAGATATAAGAGGCAGATGTTTTAAACAAAGGGTGGTAAGTGCCCAGAATGCACTGCCAGAGGAGGTGGTGGAGGTAGATACAGTATTTAAGAGGGATGTTGGCATATACAAGAATAGGCAGGGAATAGAGGGATACGGACTGTGTAGAGGCAGAAGGTTTTAGTTTAGAAAGGCATCGTCTGTTGGCACAGTCTTGGTGGGCTAAAGGGCCTGTTTCTGTGCTGTACTGCTCTTTGTCCATATTTCTTAATTTGAGATGAGCCTACTGCTTGAAGACGTTCATTATTAATTATGTCTCAGTGTTAAAGGTGGATGTACAATGCTCAAACTTGACAGTTCCAGATCACCATTTGTGGGACTCAAAATGGCAACCATTACAAATGGCCATAATAGCTGAACATGAATACATAGAAAGAAGGTTTATAATAAATTAAATACGATCACATACTCAAATCTAAAATTGACTGCATTTAAACTGAGTTTAACTTCCTTTAATTGTGTAGTCTGTTTATTGCAGGAAGGAAGTGCGTGAACTTGGACTGACCATATTAGTGGATGCTCGCAGATGTCTTCCCACCCTTACCCTCTTCAGAGCATTTACTGCACTGCAGGTGAGACATCAGTGAAAACCTGATTGTGGAAATTACCATTCATTCCTTACGAACAATGTAAAGTTGTAACTGAACCCCCAATGTTCCGATTTTTCATCTGAATTTTTATTTTGTTTGTATTTTTAAATTGTTGTATTTGCACAATGTCTAATTCCCCCATAAGTTACAATCTTTTTCAATTTCTCACCTCCTCTTTGATGTAATTAATTATGTGAAACTTAAGAAAAGTTAGTTCAGAAAAGACCAAAGTTCGCCTGGTTTGATTTTGACCATCCTGATAGTCACATAATTCAATAATAGCAGAATTGTTGACTAATCATGGTGATAAATCTTTATCAATTAATTAAAAACAAACCAAGACAGGAGGGGAGACAAATTCCAGTGTTGGGAGGCTTTGGGGCACCATTGGCTCAAAGTAAGCCATTACCCCCAAACACACAAAACATAACACAGAATCAGCTCTCAGATCATTCATTACTGTATCAAAAATATTATTTTCTGACAGAAATCCAGATAATTTGCATTTGAAGCTATCTGCTTCTGCCACCTGCCACAGAGTCTGTTGATAGATCACTCACTCATTACATGTTTCTGCACATTAGTTTTTACATGGTTCAAGTGAAGGCTGTCCTTCTGGTTTTACTCTTCTGGACAATGTGAAGCAACTCATTACTATGTAGTCCTATGGACTGTAATTTTTTTTCTTTTATTCTTTCATGGGATGTGGATGTTGCTCTTAAAGCCAGCATTTGCTGCACACTCCAACCTCACTTATACTGAGCGGCTAGCTCAGCTATTTCAGGGGGTAGTTAAGATTCAAGCAGATTGCAGTGGATCTGAGACAACAAGGTGCAGGGCTGGATGAACACAGCAGGCCAAGCAGCATCATAGGAGCAGAGAGGCTGACGTTTCGGGCCTAGACCCTTCATCAGAAAAGGGGGAGGGGAAGGGGGTTTTGAAATAAATAGGGAGAGAGTGGGAGGCCGATAGAAGATGGATAGAGGAGAGGATAGGTGGAGAGGAAACAAACAGGTCGAAGAGGCGGGGATGGAGCCAGTAAAGGTGAGTGTAGGTAGGGAGTTAGGAAGGGGATAGGTCAGTCCAGGGAGGACGGACAGGTCAAGGGGGCGGGATGAGGTTGGTCGGTGGGAGATGGAGGTGCGGCTTGAGGTGGGAGGAGGGGATAGGTGGGAGGAAGAACAGGTTAGGGAGGCAGGGACGGGCTGGACTGGTTTTGGGATGTGGTGGGGGGAGGGGAGGTTTTGAAACTTGTGAAATCCACATTGATACCATTGGGCTGCAGGGTTCCCAAGCGGAATATGAGTTGCTGTTCCTGCAACCTTCGGGTGGCATCGTTGTGGCACTGCAGGAGGCCCAGGATGGACATGTCGTCTGAGGAATGGGAGGGGGAGTTGAAATGGTTCGCGACTGGGAGGTGCAGTTGTTTGTTGCGAACCGAGCGTAGGTGTTCTGCAAAGCAGTCCCAGAGTCTCCGCTTGGTTTCCCCGATGTAGAGGAAGCCACACCGGGTACAGCGGATGCAGTATATCACATTGGCAGATGTGCAGGTGAACATCTGCTTGATGTGGAAAGTCTTCTTGGGGCCTGGGATGGGGGTGAGGGAGGAGGTATGGGGGCAGGTGTAGCACTTCCTGCGGTTGCAGGGAAAAGTGCCGGGTGTGGTGGAGCTGGAGGGGAGTGTGGAGCGGACAAGGGAGTCACGGAGAGAGTTGTCCCTCCGGAAAGCAGATAAAGGTGGGGAGGGAAAGATGTCTTTGGTGGTGGGGTCGGATTGCAGATGGCGGAAGTGTCGGAGGATGATGCGTTGGATCCGGAGGTTGGTGGGGTGGTACGTGAGGACGAGGGGGATTCTTTTTTGGTTTTTATTGCGTGGACGGGGTGTGAGGGATGAGGTGCGGGAGATGTGGGAGACACGGTTGAGGGCGTTCTCGACCACCGAGGAGGGGAAGTTACGGTCCTTGAAAAACGAGGACAACTGAGATGTACGGGAGTGGAATGCCTCATCCTGGGAGCAGATGCGGCGGAGGCGAAGGAATTGGGAATAGGGGATAGCATTTTTGCAGGAAGGTGGGTGGGAGGAGGAGTATTCTAGGTAGCTGTGGGAGTCGGTGGGCTTGAAATGAATATCGGTTTCTAGGTGGTTGCCCGATATGGAGACAGAGAGGTCCAGGAAGGGGAGAGAGGTGTTAGAGATGGTCCAGGTAAACTTAAGGTTGGGGTGGAAGGTGTTAGTGAAGTGTATGAACTGTTCGAGCTCCTCATGGGAGCACGAGGCGGCGCCGATACAGTCATCAATGTAACGGAGGAAGAGGTGGGGTTTAGGGCCGGTGTAGGTACGGAAGAGGGATTGTTCCACGTAACCTACAAAGAGGCAGGCGTAGCTTGGGCCCATGCGGGTACCCATGGCTACCCCCTTTGTCTGTAGGAAGTGGGAGGAATTGAAAGAGAAGTTGTTGAGTGTGAGGACGAGTTCGGCTAAGCGGATGAGGGTATCAGTGGAGGGGGACTGGTCGGGCCTGCGGGACAGGAAGAAGCGGAGGGCCTTAAGGCCATCTGCATGGGGAATGCAGGTGTAGAGGGACTGGACATCCATGGTAAAGATGAGGTGTTGGGGACCGGGGAATTGGAAGTTCTGGAGGAGGTGGAGGGCGTGGGTGGTGTCACGGACATAGGTAGGGAGTTCCTGGACCAAGGGGGAGAAAATGGAGTTGAGATAGTTGGAGATCAGTTCGGTGGGGCAGGAGCAGGCGGAGACAATGGGTCGACCAGGGCATTCAGGTTTGTGGATTTTGGGAAGGAGATAGAAGCGGGCAGTGCGAGGTTGGGGAACGATGAGGTTGGAGGCCGTGGGTGGGAGGTCACCTGAGGTGATGAGGTTGTGGATGGTTTGCGAGATGATGGTTTGGTGCTCAGGGGTGGGGTCATGATCAAGGGGGCGGTAGGAGGAGGTGTCGGAGAGTTGGCGTCCGGCCTCGGCGATGTAGAGGTCAATCTGGATTCACTTGTAGACCAAACCACATAGAGATGGAAGATTTCCTTCTGCAAAACGTATTAATGAATCAGATGGGCTCTCACAGTACTTAATGATAGTTATTAACTGAGACTACCTTTAATTCTAGATTTAAGATTGAATTTCCGTGAGTTGCTGTGGTCAGATTTGTACTTGCATTAACCAAGAGCTTTGGTTTACTAGTGGCACTACTGTCTCTCCCCCATTAACCATTGCCAATGGCTTGTTGGCCCATCAAGGATGGGCAAGTGGCTCACTCTTGCTTGCATTAGATCCATTGTGGGGGTCATCCAGAAACCTGTCTGACTGCCTTTCCACATTCTGGAATGCAATAGATAATGTCACTGGGCTACCAAAACATAGGTCTGGACTAGTGATCCAGAGAGTCATTATGTGTAGTGACAACAGAAATGTATGACTCCAACATGTTCATAACAAGAATGCACAAATCGAAAGCAGTTTCTTGTGTATCTCAGCCAAAGTACACAAAAGTACTGCTCATCTCATCAGGAACTTGGATTTTCCACATGGCTGCTTTTCAAATGTGCATCCATATAATATCCAGTAACTTTACAGTAGAACAATCAATCAAGGCTGTCAGCAATTGCTTTTAATACTCAGTGTTTGAATCTGCTTGTGTAAAGTGAAAAAGAGAGAGTCCAAGTGATAGTAGGAACTGCAGATGCTGGAGAATTTGAGATAACAAGGTGTAGAGCTGGATGAACACAGCAGGCCAAGCAGCATCAGAGGAGCAGGAAAGCTGACGTTTCAGGTCTAGGCCCTTCTTCTGCTTGGCCTACTGTGTTCGTCCAGCTCTACACCTTGTTATCTCTAATTTGCTGCATACTTGTGAACTACGTACAACATCACAGTAAATGGAGTTGTTTCTTTTGAAGTTCATGTAATGTCTCCTTGGAGAACCCTTTCAGGCCCTTATACTGCAAGATGGAGGACAGAGACATCTCCTGTGATGCAGAAGGAGAAGGTGATGCTAATGATGGGGCCAGAGTATTGACCATGGATATTAAGTAGCTAAGGCAATAGTTAGCTGAGGCAGACGGCCCTGTGACAATCTGACAGCCATCAGCTTCTGAGCTGAGAGAGCTAACAATGCTTGCATTTCATAGCTTGCTTCTTAAAATATTGCTAGCTGCAAGACCACTATTTCTGATTTTGATTATATGTCATTGAGTTATATAAGTTACATGGGTCCTTATTTCCATAATAAAAGAGTACTGTTCAGCTCTGCTGATAGTATTATCCCCTGCATGCATTAATCAGTTCAGTAATATGTCGCCTTTCAACCAATTGTGTACAACAACACAGTTGTATTCTGACCTTGGCATCCAGGACGGAAGCATGATATAGGCCTTGGTTTAACAAGCCCACATGTATGACATAGTCAAAGCCATATACTCTCCTATTTCAGCTTGAATTCATTCATGTCACCTGTAACCAAATAGGGGCAGTGCCTTGCTCGGGGCTTGATAAGGCAGGCATACGGATCGAGGAAAGAGGAGCAAGAGTAATGCATTCAGTCCCTTGAGCAAGCTTTTCCATTCTCCTGGATCATAGCTGGTCTTCTAACTCATCTCTTTATTCCTTTATTGTCCCTGTATCCTTGAGAGTCTTTCCCACCCACAAATCTGTCATTATGTTGCTCAGGAATTTTCAACACTTTAAACCTCAGAGCATTTCGAATGAATTTGTCCTCTAACTCCTCCAAGTCAATATTGCTTTTAGAGGCTTTTTGCCCAAAACTGAACACAGTGACGGGAATTGTTAGATGTCCCCCTTTCTCCCTCAGACAGAATTGCAGGCATTTTTGTGGGGGTGGGGCCGGTTTAGGAGTATGAAGAATTGAGCTGGTGGCTAACCTGCCACCTTAGCACCTACCATAGTTGTGTCCTGCAATATGGTGGTGGGTGACATGTCAGCTGGATCACACTAACCCCACTCCTGGGGCTGT